TAGAATTGTCCTGAACAGAGCAGGATGAGAACTTGTTCCCCTCCATGTGCATCAGAAAGTAGTAGTTGAATGGTGTTTTTTTTTTGTCTTTCTCTTTTTATCTTAATACCATTTGGTAATAGATATATTGTTTTCTAGTGGTTGTTTAAAATAATGAGTTTTAGGGTAGGGAGGAAATGATACATAAATATTTTTCTTGCTAATTTTTAACAAAATAAATTTAATTTGCTGCCTCAAGAGGGTGCTGTCTGCTAGCAGTTTAAATTGCAAAAATGAAGTAATTCTGGTTATTGTAGTTTAAGATTGAGCTATTGTGTTCATAATCCCAATTTTTTTAATAAATATCTACTGTTATTTGCATTAATTTCTACATGGATTCCTAAAACATTGGGCAAAAGGCTTAAAGTGATATAATTATTTTGTATTGTTATAGTCATTCTCTTGTACTTTGCTCTTGTCTGCTACTTTTCACTCACAGATTTCAGAACAGGAAAGAGCAAACACTGGTGTGTTTTGCAGACTGGAGATGTGAAAGGAATATCCCTTGAGAGGTTAATCAGGCTTGTGACAGAGAAGCTAAGATTTTTATATTGCAGCTTCATGTTAGACTGCACTAAACTTGATATTGAGATATTTAACACTGGAATAGAACGACCACTGTAGAGGAAAATATGCTTATACCTAAAGAAGGATATTGCTGACAAGATAATTGTTTGGTTCCCTGCTTGAGTGCTTCTGGAGTACTCACTGCTGTAACTAGCTATTTTCTCTATCGTTCCAAATTTTTTTTAATAAAATAAAAATTCTTTTCTTTTTTCTTTCCGCCCCATACTCTATTTACCTTTTTGCCATTGTTACTTTCAGATGTAGTAAAAGGCACTCTAGTTACCTACAGTGTGGATTTTTTTCCTTTTGAAGGTATCGGAACGCGTAGAGAGAAGACTTCAGGAGATAGAACAAGAGATGCGTGCTGAAAGACAGCTTGTAGAAAGGCGCCAGGACCAACTGGGACATATGTCTCTCCAATTACAAGAGGTATGCAAATGAAAACTTCCCCTGTATTTAGGATTTAATTGGGAATGTGTTGCATTTGCAAACCTGTACCTGTCAAACTGGCAAAAGTGCTCATATCTGTGGCATATTTTTTTACTCTATCAGTCCAACTCAGCTTGTTTTGATGACTAGATGATACCAAGTACAGTCTCAGTTCTTAATGACATTGTCCTGACTATATTTAGACCTTTTCGGTAACTTCCACAGATGTTCTAAGAATCTACCTGTTATGCCCTTCCTGAAATCCCAAGCAAACAAAAGCAAATCATTAGCTGGGTTTTCTCAATTAAAACATTTTGTTTTCTAAAATATGAACACTACTTGCAGTGAACAGTTTATTTTAAATTTATTTCAACAAGAATCAAATGCACTGCAGTGACGAGGCAGCTTTTCATTGCTTTCCAGTTTCATTCAACAGTATATGATGAAATGTAAAATATCATTTAGGAGACAGAAATGTTTATAAAATAAAATAAAATTTGAGACAGTTGCTGGCTTTTTTTTCTGCTTGTTTTAGGAAATGTATGAAAAATAATTTCTCTGATTTTACTTCTATTTTGAAAAATCTGTCTTAACATGGTGTAACTTTTTATTTTACTTTGCCTAAGATATTTTTGTGATGTTATCTCTAACTATGCAATAGAATATTAGCAACAGTATATACATGCTTTTTGGAAGGTGTTATACTGTGCAGTGATACTGAGGAACTTTAATTTAGAATGATGCCATGTATTTCATGTAAAGCTAGGCACTGTTCAAAGAGGTCATATTTTAGAAGGTAAGATTCTTTGTTAATATAGATAAAAAGTAATCAAAAAGTTATCAAAAGGCTTGTAGTCCTTCTGCTAGTATTTCAGAAAGACTTACTGTTTCATTTTTCCCCCAGTTGGTGTCTTAGTGGGTGAAAAGAACTGGAGTGCTGAATTTCAGTTTTCGTTTCTCTTTAATATGCCCACATCCATTTCTAGATTCTTCGGTTGTGCCTTCAGTCCAGTAAAGGAATACTCACTGAAATGAACTGGTGTGATTTCATAGTGTTGTCTACAGATTGGAGCAAACTTTTTTTATCCTTTTAAAGGGATGATGACTTGTATCTCTAAAAATACGCTGCCATGGTTTCCTTAGAAGGAAAATTTGACTTCAAGTGAATAAGTTCAAATGTAGTTCAAAGAATTTTCATATGGTCTTTCATAGATCATGAATGATCATGGTCTATGTGATCATGAGCCTTCAGGCTAGGTACTTTTTCTTTTAGTTGCTCATCTTTTGAATTTTATGCAAAATGAATATGAAATACTAAGTACATCCCAGACCTTCCATTCCCCTAAGCTGTCCAGCTGTGAATTAAGATGGTTTAATCCTTTCTTCTGCAAATTCTATTCTATTCTGTACATATTTTTGGGAGTTATTTTTCCTGAGGAACCCTGTTCTAAAATACAGTTAAATTTTGTTGTATTTTAGAAAGAATGTACTTGAATTGCTTTGTGTACTTTTGCCTAGCCTAGTTACAATAAAATAAATATTTTGCTACAATTGTTATTTGAAAGAAATATGTTTCTGCATAATTTTAAGAGTTTATTACTTTGTTGTTCTGTTTCTTGTCCTTTGTAGTTTGCATTGTGAGTTAGATGGACTCTTAGCTCTCTCAGTGGCCTCAGTCTTGTGGTGATCACTGGATGGGTGTGATGCTCTATTGAAGTCTATTTCTGTTTTATTTCTTCAAAATGCTTCCCAAGTAATATTAATGGAAAGGAGGGTAGTGTTTGGACTGAATTTTGAAATCCTGTCATTTAACATAGCCTGGACGATTTACAGATAAATGGTATTTAAAGCATTTGTGGCTATTTGATGATACAATTTTTTCATTAGTTTACCTGTTAAACATTTCAAATCAGATAAAATCAAATTTAACTTCTGAATGTGACCAGTAGTTGCTTTAATTAAGAAATCTTTTGAAGTTTATGTGAGGTTTAAGTGTTATTTTTTTGAGGAAAGTGCAGTGCCTGTAACTGACCACTACTTGTCAGTGTTTTACCATCTTAAGAGAATCATCTTTCTAAATTGCAGTTATTAAATTATATATTTTCAGGCTCTAACTGAACATAACAATACATTTGTTTTGGTCTTTCCCTTGTCTGTCTTTTCTTTCCATCAGTGTTTTGTATAATGTGCAAACTTCTTGTTTGTATTGTAGTATTATTATAATTATAGACTGATTATTAACGAAGATGGTATCTAGTGATATTGTCTATACTGATGATGGCTCTATACTGACCATAAAGAAAGCTTTACATATAACATTTTACATCTTTCATTTCTAAATTTGCAATTTTACTTTTAATTTGCAGTCTGTCTGTGCTGTGTGTAGGTGGATAAAAATTATTTTCTCTACTTTTTTATGTGTCTTTTAACTTTGTGTGTATTGATGCATTTAAACAGCAATTACTGCAAATTAGAAAATAGCAATTAGCAAAAACATTCATGCAAATCTTACATCTTCGATTATTTCTAAATTCCTGATACAAACATGTGTTTGATTAGAAAAGAAAACGAACAAATATGCTCATCTTGCCAGTGCTATAACATGTATGCATGGATTGCTTTAACAACCTTATTTGTTGTGTTAACTAGAACTATTTTGAGATTCCTAAGTCCTTTTTTTTTTTTTTTAACATAAAGTCACCATCACCTCTTATTGTTTGTTTGCATTTATGCTTCTATGTTCTAAAACAAGATCAAGTATCATTCTGAAAAATGGGCTTTAAAGAGCTTTCATATACAGTGGGTATCCTGGATAGCTTTACAAAATCCTGTGCTTGGCTTCCTGGATTTTGGTGAAATGTGTCCATGTGTTCATGCTTTACAAGCTTTAGGTGAACAGAATAATCAGGACATTTTGAACCCACTGACTGTGGTAAGGCAATGACTATAGCAACTGGATAGGCCAGGAAGCATTTTATAACTTTGTACAGCTATACGCTTAGATTCTGTTTGCTTCCCACTGCAAATACCGTGAAGTGCAAGAAGCTGGTGGACAGAGTGGGGTAAACTGATGGTCAAAAGTGTTATTGAAAATTCTTTTTTGCATATGTTTTTCTCAGATCTTTTTAGACAAACATAAACTTGATCCGTGCTCTGAGCCATCTGGATATTTTGGTGCATTGTTGATACTTGCTCCTTGGCTCTGTACTGTGCCACCTGTGGATAATGGTTTCTGTTTTGATTGTAGTTTGAATCTGACTCTTGGAACGCGAGCAAGTCGCATATTTATCTGTCACTGAAAGAGCTAGGTAGTCTGTAGATACTTGGCTGATACATCTAGGTAGCATGCTTGGACCCATGCTAGTCACTAATGTAGCAGGTTAGGGAAAGGATTTTCATTCAGATTAGGATGTGGTACATTTTTGCCTTATTTTAAAATATAGTGTAAAATATAGTGCTTGTGTATTTCTGATATTATGAGTAACTCACTGATCTGTTGCACTTTGAAAGAGCAAATTGCAGTTTGTGGTCTGTGCATTGCTTTCAAATAATCTGGTTTTATTTAAAAAAAAAAAGGCAACACAGCAAAACCAAACTAAGACCAAACCCCAAACCCTTAGAAAAGTTAGCAGTCTTAAATTGCAATGAAAGTTATGATTTGCTCTTGAAAGATTTTCCTAAGATGGAAAGACTGAGAATTGTTGTTATAGAATCCTCCACATAGTTTTCCTCAAGTATAGGAAAAAATCATCTGTCTAGCAGGGAGTAAATTATTTTATCTTTTTGAAGTTTTGGGGTTTGATATGTTCTGTGTTCATATGGATGAGGTATACCAAGTTAGGGTATACCAGTTAGGTTTGTATTCTGTCTTATGCTAGTGAGCTCTTCATAAAGACCTGTAAGAAATTTTCTCTTTGGTCAAATCAAAAATTCATCTTGCCTGACCACCTAGGCAGGCAGTGGAATATCTAGCTGGCCCATCCCAAAAACATGCTATGAAAACCTTTTTACATGGAAGTTCTGTTTTCTTGTTTTCTCCTTTTCTCCTTCCCCCTCCAAGGCCTCATCAGCTTCCTCCTGACCAACCTGAATACTAATGCTTTCAAAAGAAGGATCTTGGTGGGCGAATCCTATTGACTGTAGGCCTGTTACCGTTCCTTGATACTTCAGCTCTTCTGTGCAGTGTCTGCCTGTTGCTTGGGAGCCATCAGGGAGGAATGTGTGCTGGGACTATTGTCCTTAGCATCCCCTTCCTAGTTTCCATTTTTGGCATTTGACTTCCCCAAACCCTTCATTTGGAGACAACAAATGAAATCAAAGAATCAGTGGGGTCTTTACATGTTTTGTTTGTTTCTTTCTTTTTTCCCAAGAGAAAGCTTACTTAGAGATATCTTTAGTAGATAAAAATAAGAATGGCACAAATCGGAAAGAGAGAATTATTTAGAAAGGAGTACTGGAAGGAGGCAAAACATAGAATTAACTATTACCTATGCAATTCCTGAATTGTCAGTAACAGCTGATGTTTGTCGGGCTGCGGATGACCAGATTTTGACTGATTAATTGGTTACCTACCTAACACCTACCGGAACAATGCATGTTTCTCAGCTGAAGCAGTGCATATGTAGTATGTTTAACTCCTTGTAACATCACATTTTTTTTTGTAGTATTTTAACTCTGGTATATATATATGGGCTTAAAATGAAATTGCTGTGGGCTCTTTTTACAATATACAGAAAACAAAACCGAATATTATATTTGTAGTATCAGTTACAGGAAAGACTGTCTTTTTATTTGAAATTATTGCTATTTAATAGCCTAAATATCAGTCAGGGATCCTGATAAGTTGAAACAGCATATTTGTTTCTGTGGTTTCTTCTTGGAATTAAGATGTACTACTGATGCAGAGACATACTTTTTGCCTTCAGCAGGAAAATCTTAGAAATTTTAATAGTATTTCTAGTTTCAGCCCAGTGTTAATATTTTCCTTATCATGTTCACATCTCCAGGCAAATCTGTACATAAAAACATGCATTTTTAATACTATGTTAATTCTTAATTTAGTGCCAAAATATGTTTGGCATAAGGTTGACTGTATATAACAGAGCTTCCAGTTTTGCTAGTAAAAATGGAGGTCAATTGGAGATAGTACATATCACATATTCAAAGTAGGCTTTTCTGTGCTGGTGCTTCTGGTCATTAAAATAAACAATCCAAACCAAACCACTCAAAGAAACAAAAAGAAACCTAAAGAAAAACCCCAAACCAACTTGTGCAATAATGGCATTGGTTGAAGTGATGCTCTTTGACTTTCTTTCATGTAGCTTTTTGGGACTTCTGCCGAGAGTATTTTTGAGTAAAATATGTGCAATTTTGAGTTTTATAGTTGACTGGAATGATTGATTTAAATCTCTACTGAATACTTAGGGAAATACCTTAAATATGTGACAGTCTCCTAGTATCTGATTAGGGATTGTATGACTAAAACTGTAACTTTATGTAGCATAATATTTGCAGTGACATAGTTATGATTAATATCTTCCACAGTCTCAGTTTTTAATGTAAGCTATTCAAGCAGCAGAGTAATCCAAACTATACTGAAACCCTTCTGTTTCCTGAGGTGAGGATATAAGAGCGGGATAAATATATAAATCCATTTATTTTCTCTAAAAATTTTATTTTCTCTAATCTCTACTTATAAAAGCAAAACTTCTAAAACTGAAAGCCCAGCTTCATTGAAGTTGATTAATAATCATCTTGCACTGTTTTCATAGTGTGAAATCGTTCTCTGGTATACAGTGGAAAGAAAATGTTCAAAACCTGAATGAAATTGCACTATCTATAGAGGCAAATTTCAGGGATATTTTTTAAAGGAGATATTCCTTTAAAATGTAAAACGAAAATACTGCTTGGGAAGAGCAGACTGGGGAGAAGACATTTCTTTCTTGACAGGCTATTTTTTTTTTTTGTTCTGTTGTAGTTTTAGCAAGGAATTTTGAAAGGAATTGATGTACTTATGCTTCAGGATACGAGATGAAAGTAAAAGATTTGTGCTAAGGTCTCCAATTAATTGATTTGTGACTAGTGTGAAAGACGGTTGGCCACATTGCGCAGATAAAGAACATTATTTATTAACAATTGATCAAAGTCATGGTAAACTATCAGTATATGGCTACTGATCTCTCTCAGCTGATATTTAAAATGAGCCAATGACATTGTTATGACTTGAGACTTCCAGACTTGGGTTGTGTATGTTGCAAACTGTACGTCATTAATGTCTGTCTTGTCTAAGGCTTCCTTTGCCAGTGATTGTCTGTGTTCTGCAAATAACATTGGTTTGCAGAGGGAAAAGATTTTCAAATTGATATCCAAGGCAATATTATTTTTGTAAGATACATTAGAAAATGTTCATATGTGGCTTTAGATACCTAAGTCTGAGAGGGAACAGGAAAAATCCCCATGGATTTGTTTTGTTTGTTTTTTTGTTGTTGTTATTGTCAAAGTAGGGCACATCAATGTCAATAACTTTTGATCAGGAACATTTCAGCTGATTCACTTGTAATACTGTGATTCTAAGCATCTGTCCAGATTCAGATAAAAATTACCTTTTCCTTTTTTTCTTTTTTT